TCATAAAGCCTGCCATTTGAAATAAATAAATAAATATTAGGTATTAACAGATTCAAATGAATTTTCAAGCTAATATAGGCTCCATAACCATCTAGAAGGTGGGACACCAGCATTTAGGATGTCTGAATAGGGTATTTAGGTACATTTTTTTTATTACGACCGTTACATGATTCGAAATCGTGGAGCATTTTGAACGACGTAACATACTGGTCCATTGTGTATTTACAGGCTATATTGTCGCAGCGGGCTGGCATTGGTCAATCTCTTTCCAGGGTATTTGCGTTATGATCCAATCCAAGTATCATCCGAGAGATCTGGATGAGCACATTGAGGAGTTTATGGCAAGTGTGGAGGTTAGCTTCTTCCTCTTCTCTCGCATGCCTTAGCTTGCCCCCACTGGTAGCTGCTGCCTGGTAAATGCTGCCTTGTTTTTTTTGTTTTGCCTTCTAGGAAATGCTCGAGAATATGTCCGATAAAGAATTTGAAGAACACAAGGAATCTGTAATTGCTGCACTTCTTTTAAAACCTAAAACAATGAACCAGCAATGTACAAGATATTGGCGACAAATTGTCAGACAACTATACGATTTCGATCTGTGCAAGTTTATTATTATTATTATTATTATTATTATTGGTTCAATTACGATGGAGAATTATTAATCGAATTTGTCGTTAAGATCGCCAATAAGTTTATTTTTTTAAGGGTCTTTGTGAAGATGGAAATAGGGAATTTCAATGAGCTGTGATAAGTTTAGTATTATTTATGTCTAGGGTGGTTGAAACGCCACATTTTGGATAGCCAGCAGTTTCAATAGTCTCTTCGAGGGACCTTTTCCAAACTCTTCGGTAGCAGCCTTCGTTCTCCCAAATTGTGAATGGAAGCAAAAATCATGAAGAGTCGAACGAATGCTACTTTGCTGCATAAACGATCACAAACTCGTGCTTTCTTCATCATTTTGACCGCACACGACTTGTCGAAACAAGTTTTAACTCTAAGACAATGGAATTGTCAGATGGGAATTCTTGGGGGCGAGTTTTTTCGTTAGAGAAGGATAGATTAAGGAAATGCTCCGAGAATCCGGGGATGGTACATATTTTTTTAATTATACCGGTTTTCACTATTACCGTTGCGAAATTTCACAGGCCTCTGGGTCATTATTGCTATCCACATCTAGCAGATGTGCAAATTGGATGAAATTTTAAGGAATGGACATTTTATTTCGCTAATTTTATCAATATCTTCCACTTTATAGCTAATCGTGAAGTGGAAGTAATTAAGGGCATACAAAAAGCAGATGTTCAATGCTTTTATCGGGTAAGTTATGTGTAGTTGTAGAAAGTTGATTTTACATAATGTCGCTTGATTAATTTATATAGTTTTGATAAATTTTAGACCTACATAAAAGCGACGTCTGAAGCTCGAAGAAAATTAGCTGTTTATGTCACATCCGAAAAGGCACCAGCTACTGACAAAGAGGATCTAGTAAGCGAACTTTGCGAAGTTATTTACTTAGAATTTAGAGGTTTATCCAGCACTCAAATTGAGTAGACCATGAAATAAAGTGATATTCCATTACCCAGTTGCTGTTGACGATTAGCGGTATTGATTATTTTCAATCGTGTGCATTGATGGGTCTCAAACCTATGACCTCCTATTCTGAAACATATATAAGTGCCTTTGGCTAAGAGTTCATATAATGAATTTTTTTCTCGTAATCCCACATTCAAAATTTAATCAAAAACTTTTTCATATCTACGTGTTTAAAACTATGAATTTTATTTTCAGGGAATAGTAATTGAGAATCCGAAGAAATTTAAGCGAATCTTGCCTCTTCGACCACTCGCTGTTCCAAGAGGACATACAGATTCAACAAAGTTAAGTGGAATGGAATAAAGCTTATGTATAATTGAACATTTTCACTTTGATTCAAAATAAAATACGTGGTTTTAATCTCAGTTTGACTTCTATTCAAATAAATTATCCCTTTTCAGTATTTGTGTTTGTAATCGTCTTATAAAATGGCGTAATAGAACCTACTAAATGCGGCAATCCAGTCACACATGAATGATCTATAAATGGGTTAAAATAATTGAGATATATATTGGGCTATGAGTGAAATAATTTGAGTAAGAGTAAGCGGCTTGGGGACACGAACAAGAAGAAAGTGATCATCAAGGCGAAAAAGAGTTCACTTTGTTAACGAACAAAAGAAATTATACCAATATCGGCAATGGGTTTCCATTTCAACACTTATTAGCTCGGATCAATATATTTAAAAATCATAGTATTATTATCCGGGTAGTCGTCCAACTTTGCTTCAACGAGGCTTTTCTAAACATATGGATAGGAACATGGCGTGTTGGAGTTGGGACGGAAAAAAGATATATCAAAATATATGAAACGATTGAAATTATTGACTTACCATAATTCAAGATCAGATAAGTTGCCAATTTTATCTATTTGAGAAAAATATTATGATTAATTACAACTGTGTATAGACTAAACCCATCGAAAGTGAAAAAATTTTACCTCGTTAAATTGAATGGAATAACGACTGGGCTTATTTAATATCTTGTGCTTGAATTAGGAAGTAAGTTCTTGCGATAGGAATAAATAACTCTACTCACAGAATACAGCAACGCATAAATTAAACGGAATATAGAATACTGATATAAGTGTTACACACATTAACCCTAGTAAAAGACGCTTGGGAGGTAATTCTTCAGTTATTAACTGAAGCGCTTCAATACCGTCGTTTTGGTTAATTGCATTGTTGTCATATGTATTTTATCAACGCAAGAAAAGGAATAGAGTAAAATGTATTTTATCAAGACTTTAGGGCAAAATAATGTAACAAAAGACAAATACTCAATACGGTGGCCGAATTTCTGTAAACAATCGCAACAAATAGCAATATAAAACTTTCCGTGCATGATTCAAAATAAATATATAATGATCTTGATGATATCTCATTCGTCTCTGAAAGCAAATAAATAAGAAGAACTCAATTCCTATTTATGTAGTATCAGAAGATTACCCATGGAAGACTAAATGGGTAAGTTATGGAAGAAAACAAAGAGGATTTCAAAATGCTCACTATAATAGGATAGCTATCGAAATATTTCATAGCCTTATCTCAAATAAATTACTATCAAAATCCATTACTTATTTGCAATAGTTGGCAAAGTTACATGATCGTTCACACATTAATATTATGAATGACTGTAGAATATCATCATTTTTATCAATTAATAATTTGGCCAAGTTCGTTTTAAAATGAGATGATGCTTATAAGGTTTCCAAAATTGTTTCGTCTCACTTTTCAGATTAGACTGTTATTTTTTAATTATAGTATTATTTAATTTAAAGTATTAGTAATACTACCAGCTCATTTTAATCGCGAAACTCCGATTATGAAAACAGTGTTTAAATAAACTTGCCATCAGTGGGTTAATCGGTCTCCCAAAAATATGGGTAAAAAGCAGCACCAGTCGGATAAACTGTAAAGGTCTTTTTATTTAATATTTTTAGTTATATTACAAATACTGAATGGAAAACATTATATGGTGGAAAAAAGGCTGCAGGTGGAGGAGAATTAAAATTTCGTCGCCTACCATTCAACTGTTGCAGGTAACGTAACTACTAATCGTTAGTTATAATCAGCATTTCATTTCAACCATTCACTGTTCCTTATTGTACCAAGGATGGCGTAGTTTTTGATCTCGAGTAAGCTCGTTTGTTTAATTCCCTACGTATTTTAGAAATGTCCTGCCATTCGTCAAGAAACATGGAATAAATCCAGTGACAGGAAAGGTACCTTCGTAAATGAATTATTATGCTTCTAGAAAATGAAAGTCAGCGAACTGATCAAGCTCAATTTCCACAAGAATGCAGATGGAAAATTTCATTGCCCAATAACTTTTAAGGTTTTTAATCAAAATACTCACATTGTTGCGATTAAGCCCACTGGAAATGTCTACACATATGAGGTAAGCTATTTAGTTCTATCATGGTTTTTAGGCTGTAGAACGTCTCAATATCAAAACTAACAGCTATCAGGATTTACTAACATCAGAGCCCTTTACGAAGGACGATATTATTAATATCCAGGACCCCAATAGTTTGGATAAATTTAATATATCTGCCTTCTATCACGTAAAAAATAGTCTTCTCGAAAAGGGTTCGTAAGGCAAATTTATTAAATAATCATTACATATTTAGGCGGTCCTGGAACATCAATTATTCGCTTACTAAATCCTGAAACAAAGGAAACCCTTTCTGTCCTAGAAAAGGCTGAAATTGAGGTCCCAGATTATATGTATTCTAATAAGTCGAACGAGCAGAACAGTTCAAAAGTTAGAGATGCTTTTAACACAGCCCATTACTCTACCGGAAAAGCTGCAGCTTCTCTGACTTCTACTGTAATGGAACCAACAGTTATGGTTGAACCAGGTTCGTGAAATAACAACAATAAGCATTTCTTCACTTCTAGCTATTCTTGAGGATGATGTTGTCCGTTATCGTTATGTTAAGTCCAAAGGTTTTGTTCGACTTATCACCTCATTCGGGAATTTGAATCTTGAGTTACATTGTGATCTTGTGCCAAAAACTTGTGAGAATTTCATCAAACTTTGCGAAAGTGGTTACTATAATGACACGATATTCCATCGGGTGATTAGACATTTTGTGGTAAGTGAGCATCTGTCCCGTTCAAATATGATTCTTACTTCTCAGATTCAAGGCGGTGACCCAACGGGAACAGGCCTTGGTGGAGATTCCGCCTGGGGAGGCTCATTTCCGGATGAATTTAAAGATAACTTGAAACATGATAGCCGAGGTGTACTCTCTATGGCTAATTCAGGACCAAATTCGAATAAATCCCAATTGTAAGGCCGTTAATTTCGATAATTTCCCCCCCCCCTTTTAGCTTCATTACTTTTAGGCCGTGTCATCAACTGAACAAAAAACACACAGTCTTCGGAAAGTGCGTAGACAATTTAGGCACATTCAGTATACTTATTTTTTTTGTAGAGTTGTCGGTGGATTGGACACTTTGGATAAAGTTGAGCTAATTGAAACTGATAAAGAAGATAGACCTTTGGAGGAGGTGAAACTGCTCTCAACGCAAGTCTTTGTTAATCCCTTCAAAGAAGTTGATGAAATGCTGGCTAAAGAGAGGGAAGCGTTAAAGGAAAAAGAAGCAGCAGACTTGAGGGAAATTGAGGCTCCTAAACCGGGAAACAGACGCGAGGAAGAGGCAATGGAGGCAGCAAAAAGAGTAAAGAAAAGAGGACATGCGGAATCTGTCACTCCACAAAGGACTGGTGTAGGAAAATTTATCTTTCTACCGGATGATAGCAAAGCGGAACCGGATTTGGCAGCGGCTAAAAAGCGTCAGAAAACCGTCCTCCGCTCTACCTTATCAGACTTCAGTGCTTGGTAATTGTAAATATGCACACATATCAAAATATACAACCTTTAACAAAACACGTTCGTAATGGTCGATGAGCAAAGCAGTTTTATTAAAAATATGAGTATCAGATTGGAATATTCAGTCTAATTAGGATAGGTCACATCGGATGCGTGCGGGTTAGTAACACTACTGTTGCTAGAGTACACGACGCTCGAAGACATTGAGGGTGGAATACTGGGGGAAATCTGATAGATAATGTGAGATACAAGTTGTTCAATGCTCTGTTCGAAGCATTTGATATTGCATGGATGGAGTAACTGTCTTATATCCGAAAAGGTTTCTTCAATACAACTTAATTCAGAGCTGTTGATTCGGTTTTCTTGCAGATGCTAAATTGATACGTACAAATTCCTTATTGAATAGACTACAACTTACAGATAGTAGGGTAAGAATGGTTGTTAATTTGGCGATCAAATGAAATTTGGAATCCTCGATTGCTTGGGGACTGTGAGTTGCTTTTAATTTGCTTACAATATCATAAGCCTCATCTTCGCATTGCCTTCTCCAATTTGTCACAGCAGACATATCATGCATCCCAAACTTAATTGCAGCCTAGAAAAGAAAGGCACATTTTATGCTCTATTTTTGATTAAGGAGAATCTAACCAATAATTCAACTATCTAACTAAAACAATCAATGAACTCTACTACAAGACTACATTATCAGGACTTGTGTTGATACTATCTTGGCATTCAGTATAGGGATACTGACTTCCTGGCTCAGAAACATACACCACTTCATAGGGAGGATATTGCGAATTATAGACTTCACCATAATTATAAACTGGAAATTGAGGCTAAAATTGCAAATATTAGGATGGCTTATAAAGAAATTACTAAAAGATGACAGCATGAGAACTCACCTCAGATATGTAATGAACAACTACTTGGATATGAGGCTTCAGCTTTTGGTTTAATTCGTCAAGAAGTAAAATAAGAGTAGCGTATCTTTGTTGAAATTCAGTGGAGATTTGGAAGGGATTTTCGGGTGTCTAAAGGTAAATATCGAATTGAAAGCAAATGAACAAAACAAACTTGATACTCAACCATGTCATTCATTTTCCTCAACTCGTCGACAGATTCATTCTTCTTGTCAAGCAGTCGTTTCAGCTTAACCTGTAAAATTTTTATGTGAACTCAATATAAATCTTACAAGGTTATATATAAGGTCGTACATGGAGTTATCCTGACCACTGATACCATCTTGTGATATGTTTGTTTCGGTATAATGTGCTTGAATTAGACTTGGGTCTCTTGAAATTACGGCATCAGAGATAGAAAGATCATTGAAATTTTCTACACCAGGTTCGGGAACCTCTAATGGAATAAGTCTATTGACATAGCATACCGAATTCAGAATCTCCAGAGGGATTAACTTCGTTAGAAAAATATTCAACACTGTCGTTTCGTTTTAAAGACATTGAAAATCAAGTCGAATAGTAGAAGGGAGTTAATTTGAAAAGGCGGAGAAATCTTTTAGTTCAGGATTTCTATATTAAAATTATGACTATGCGATTGTGATACAACGATAATACCATATTTATGAAGCAAAACTGCATGAAAAATTTAATTACAAAATTAATGGTAAAAAGTTTCGAAAAAAGCGAATCAAATCTCACTAACCAGACTGTAACGTCACTCTTCAAGCATTAAGTTTTTTTTTCAAAACAACCGCAATCAACACAGTGATCCCACATTCCGCTTATGGATATCCATTCAATGATGAAAAATTACTACAAATGACTATTTTCGACTGTTTATTAAGTCAAATAAAAATATTTATTCCTCATCACTGATTTTATTTTAAATATTAAGTATTAAAGACATATCTAATGCACTCATCTTAAGCGTTACCCATTGGCGAATATTATTACTTATCTTCAAACTTGAGACTGATAATTATCCAACTATTACAAAAGAAATTAACAAATATATATCCATTAAAGGAACAAACAAGAATATTCTTTGTTATTAATCTCAAAATTTCCTATTCATATATGTATTTCGTTAATCGTTTCATAACATAGAAAAATTTTACGGTTAAATTTAGATTTAAAAAAAATTTTGCATCTTGTCACCAAATATTGCAATTAAGCATTATGGATGGAATGAATTAGAGTGAAAGAATACTATCACTCTTCATATAATAATTTTTAATATCTTATTAGACTTTGCTGAGCTACATCCTCACTTTTTTATTTCAATGAACTTAACTAGGTTAATTTTATTCAGAAAATTTATTACTTATCATTTACTACTCAGTTAAGGACCTTAATTTAATATGGAACCTCGGGCATCTAATGCCAATTCATTCGTTTTCAGACATTTATATTAAAGTTTTCTGCCTAATTTTGAAAAAAACCAATACATAAATAGCTATATTTTGTTAAATTTTGAATAACTTTTTTATTTATTCTCTAATATTTTTGAAGGTTATATTTCGTTTTAGGGTTTCAATTGCTTTCAGAAGGTGAAAACAGAGGCATTTTTGGCGGATTTGTAATATTGAGTCGCATTATGTCCTGCCCTGTTGAATTTCGACTTGAATTAAATCCGGAACTTGAAACACATCCACTTCCTAAACCTCCAGAGTATTTAAAACATCAAGTCTATGAAAAGGCTGAAGTCTTTGAAAAAATTGATAATCATGCTATTGAAGTATATATTTTTATATATTTCCTATACTTTCTTAGATATCAAAACGCGATTTTCCAACCTTTACCCATCTTATGTGGAATTTAGTGTTTCGTCATAAAATGTCTGATATTGAGCGTGCTAGAGTTATCTTCCGATGGATAACATCCAAAAATATGCAGAGGATTTCATTCGATAGTGCTCCTCCAAATTCTCCAGAAGAACTTCTTTTGTCATTTAAGGATAATAAAACTAGCTTTGCAAGGATTTATGAAATAATGTGCACGTAAGGAATCAAATTTATAAATTAATTTATGTTTGCATTAATTTAAACTCACATTCTCCTTACTGTAGATATGCTGGACTGCATTGTGTTGCTATCAGCGGTTATGCAAAAGGCGTTGACTACTTCCCCGGTGACCGATTTCAGGGTCTGCCGCCAAACCACTCTTGGAATGCTGTCTATCTTAAAGGTTCTTGGCAACTTGTAGATGCTCATTGGGCTACTCGTTACCTCAGTTCTGGAATGAATATGCACGACAATGTTGTCTATGAATATGACGACTTCTATTTCCTAATGGAACCTCAACAGGTTTGTAATCATTGTGAACACTCATAATGGTATCTGCTATAAATTACTTTTAACTTTTCAAATGTAGGTTTTACATAAGAATTTTTGTCCATTACGAATGGTTAATTTATTGAATGAATTAACATTTCCTAGTTTTTATTATTGGAAAGATTTTAAAGTTTGAAGTATTTATCTAGTAAAATATCTTAATTATGTTAATGATGCATTACTTAGGCCGTTTATAGTCACTTTCCTGAGGATTGTCGCTGGCAGTTGTTAACTAAGCAGCTAACCCTCGCTCAATTTGAAAGTCTTCCTCTCACTAAATCCCAATTTTTCAAATGTGCCATGGACTTCCGGGGTGAACACCACGGAGTAGTACAAGTCCTTGACGGATGTATCCGCATGACTCTTGGCTTCTGGCGTCCTGGTGCGTTCACCTACAAGTTGCAACATCTCGTGGGCAGTGCTCGATCTGCTCAACCTGCGCTTCTTCCTGTTAGATCATCTGATCTGACTAATTCATTCGAAATGACGATTCCTGGAATTGCAGGCGGACAAGAACAACTTCCCCTCAAAGATTTTGTACTACAAGAAACTACGGATGATGCGCTTAACTTCTTCATCCGATTACCAGCAAGAGGAGCATTTTTCTTGACCATTTATGCGCAGGTTTGTCTTACTTCCATTTACTAAGATTTTTCAATTACGTTACTTTTTTTGTACAACTTATATACTGTCGACATAACGGGATTATTACTCCTTGAACAAAAATCTTCAATATGAGATAATTAGATCCATGGAGGGGGGGGGGGGAGTTGAGAATAGCTTTTTTTCTAGCCTGGTTTTTATTGTTGTTGAATAACTGGCAGCTAACCGTATTTCTTGACATTCAGTGAAGTAAAAATCAATAAATGCGCACTTCTTGCCATCGTTTCGTCGCTTATATCTTTAAAACGGAGTTGAATTTATTCGTTGGACTATTGGATTGATTCCAATAGATATATGTTGCAAATTTCAACTTATTAATTTAAGGGAAAGTCTATCTCTAAGATTCGAAGATTTGTTTTCCAGTTTTTAATCTTAAGACTGTGTTCCATTTTCACCGGCCTTGATCTTTTTTCCTCCGTTATAGAAATCGATAAAAGTAACCAAATTTTCTAATTTTCCTTTTTACAAATGTCATCCATAGTAGATTCCGATTGATCTCTTGAAAAGAACGCTTCAATCTAGTACATCTAACAACTCGTAAAATGTACTTTATGACAGACTGAGTAACTCTGAGTTCTGCAAGAGAAATTATTTGTTTTATGAAATGTATGAAACTGGTAAATTTTAGTTAAACAAACATTGAGCAGAAGGGCGCTTTTCGTAGTTATATTGTTTAACATTTTAGAGCATCAATTTTAGGCACCTCATTTTTAAAAGTTCTTCTTGGAACCAACAACCAAATTAATTATCTATTGTTTTAATCTTTTTAGCATTTTTTGTACACAAATATTTTATAGCATTTGTTGAATTTAAAGATATATGCTAAGGAAATTGTTTTTTATTAGCATCTTTACCAAATAGAATGAATGTGCACAATGCCTACCTACTTTAAGAGCTTTAAAGATCTTTTAAAGAAAGGCAAACTTGTTTCCTATTTAGAAAAAGTCTTCGTGATGACCAGTGATGTTTTTTCTAAAATCGACATTTTCGATTATTTTGCAAGTTGCTTAGTCACCAAAACTATGTCCAGGAATTAATTTCTTTCGAATGTTTAAACCAACATGAACACAATCTTTGCTAACACAGAAAGTAATTTTCAGGATTGCTGTTCTTTTATGCAACGTGTTCAATAGCGGGTTGATTAATTTATTATTGGTTGATATTAAAACTTACATTCACTATTTTTCTCCAATGACTGAGAAGACAAACCCATCTCAAACTATTTTAACAAAGGCACTGTTTCTCAGCGGCTATTTCTGAATTTTCGATTCAATAACTAATCTTTCATAAGAGTAACTAACAATATTTTAATTTCAAATTATTTAAATGAAGCTTTGAATAAACCGAAGAAATTTTAACAATCTAATGGGGAACTAAATGGATTGAGAAATGACTTAACTTTTGTTCCAAATATATACAGATCTCGTTTGAGATTGGGGTTTAGATTTTTGCCAAAAGTATTATTAATAGGGCATAAATAGGTTCGTCTTCAATTTTAAATTTAGTCCGGATTTAAAATTTAGGCGAAGGCAACAAGTCACATTTCCATTTAAACAAATTTGTTTCTATTTTAATGCTAACCAGACATGGGCTAATGAGTAAACGTTATCAAAAGAATGATAGGTTATTAATTTTTTTCTGTCGACCTCTACTGGCACTACATTTATTTATTTCAGATGGCAGATGTTTTGATAGTTAGCAATAGGCATTTAGCTGACTTCGGGCTTCACAGAGAGGAGGAGGAACATCAAAGAGAGAGAAAAAGTCGAGAGGGAAGGGGGCAGAAGAGTGATTTGCTGATGTGAAAGAAACACAAAAGTTAGAGATAAGGGTAAGGTGAGCACTGTGAAAGGGGTAGAATATGACATACAGTGGGGTCATTAGTAGTTTGAAGTGAGAAGTCAACTGCCGATTAATAGACTTTTTTTGCCGTATGAGTATACGTTGTTCAAGGTGCACCATGTGGAGAGGTAAGTCTATCGTACACTCCTGCTGCCACTCCATTAAATGACTCATTGGCCACGACTCTGGCAGTCTAAGAATTGCAGTAATGTACTTCTGAATAGAGAGGACACGAATCAACTGATACGTCATTAATTCTTCTTTCTACTATGCCTATTACCACATAGAGGGACAAGTTGAGGCGTAACCTAATTAATATTCAAATATTTGTTTGAAATTTCCACTCTTCTTTCCGGTCATTGCACGTATTCAAACATGCATGCACACACAAACACGCTTTTCGCATGTCCTTATTGCACAATTGGGAAAATACATGCAAATGTCTTATTTAATCGACAGATTTAATTTAGATGTACATTAAGGGTTCAGGTTTAGGAAGAAATTATCAGGAATCCCTCAGAGAATATACCAATTACACATTGAATTATTTCTAATGGAAATGTTAATCAATCAGATTCTTTTCCATCTTCAAACCAAGTCCCATTCAGTTAGACAAAGAATCATTTTTTAAAATTTTTTTTCCTCAAAAAGTGGCCAATTTTATCGAAGCACATCAGCAATGCATATTGTATTTTAAATGAAGTTCTATTCCACTATTTCATCTTCTGCATCCTCTATGAAATTTGGCAGTTTTTAGTTTATCCATTAAACCGCATATTTACTTTGATAGTACCCAGTTCCAATCCAAGAAAGGAAATGGGTCTTCCAAACTTCCATTCAGCCTCATTTCTATAACTTCTCATTGGATGATTTTATATTGGCCAATAAAATGCATTTATTTTTGTACTTAATTAGGAAAGTGGGATGATTCAATTATTTCCAAGTAAACTTTGTGGTTACTCATTCCTTGCTTAAACATGAAACTGAGTGAAACGTGTCATTCAATTATATTTTATTGCCAGCACGTTAGAATATAATTGAACAAAAAATATTATTCCAAGCAACTTATTATCCAAAGCTGGAGTATTTATAAATCGGGAATCGAATAACTACATTTGGTAGATAGATTTTGTGTCTGAAGCGATTCAATTGGTTCTTAAATAGCCGTAATCAAAATGCTTCTAATTGTTACTCATGTTCTTTGTTCAATTTCCTCGTGCATGTCACCTCCGCCAGTATGACTTCCATTCACGTGCAAAAGCAAGTCTTGAAAATGACAATGACTAATACTATTTGGCCTTCAAATTGATATTTCTCGGTAACCTTGAATAAAAGTGCTGTTTCAAATAACCAACTTTCTAGAGACGCCAAATTCATATCCTTTGGCTACATTTTCTCAGATATTATTGTTTTTACCTAACATTTAGATTATTTTTTTGCTGAAAATTTATAGTGCGGCATAACGCGTGCTTCTTTTAAAGGGATTTCTGTTTATAACCACCCAGTTCGTCGTGAGAATTTCAAATATCCACGTGCTAACAAACTAACTAGCTAACTACGCCGATTGTGCGATTATATTATATAGTGCAATTTGGGGCGTGAGAGCTGTGAAAAACTGAGACCATGTCTTCACTGCGTCTCTGCTATCTTCACACTCTTGAATACGCGCCGCAAATTTCTTTGAGCATTTCTTCTCAGGCTTGTTGACACGATTGTCGTAGGTTGATTATATTGTGCCAAATGTGAAGGAGAAAAAGTCTATCAGGGAGTTACTCTTACTGTTTATTTATTACCGTTTATTCTTTTGTTTGAATTCGCAAAGGGAATTGGTTCGTGATTTAATGTGCTCTCGCTCGTCTTTAGTTGCAAAGAAGTTACCATCCAACAAAGTTGAATTATTGATCAATTTTTCTGATTTAATTTGACTTATTTAAGCAACTTTGACTCCATCAGTTTTATCTTCCACAGTTGTAAAGATCGCCTAGTCATTAACACCCAGTCTTATAAATTTTCGTGGTTCCAGTTGTTCACTCGATTCTGCTTCTGAATGGGCCACGCCTACTTTGATCTCGAAATTAGTTACAGTTAACGTTCTCGATCTAGGAAGATCGTTAGGACCTAAGGGGCCATAAAAAATATTTCCCACCTTGCTGTTAAGCGCCTTTACATATCAGACTTAGCAAATAGACGAGATTGGAGGGCAATCTCATCGAGACTTCAAAAAAAACCAGTAGAGTAAAACGAATAACATATGTGCTCACTCGGTTTCGAAGCCATGCTCATTCGCAAGCCATTTTCTTTGCTTTGGTTTATCCACTCACCACATATCGATGAGTTACACTTAGCTTAGGTACACAGAGGAAGTAGACAAAAGAGGTGTATGGCGAGGCCAAGACATTTTGGTAATCGAGTGAGTACTTTCTATTGGAATGCAATTCGCCTCCATGGTATTGAAGCATGGAGGGTGGGATGCAGGCAATTTTCCGGTGATAGACCTCGGCCCCAATAACTGCCAGACTATTAGGAGGTATCACGTATCGTTGAATGTGAAGAAGGACTTAGCGACGGTCTGTGTAAATCGATTATACCCAGGCAGAACACATACACCGCAGCTATGAGCTTTATTTTTGCATAATCTTATCACTGTGGGAATGAAAAGATTTGAAATTTTGGACGCCAAAAACACGTGGAAGTGTGCTTCACTCATGGAAAGTCACATATACACCCTACGCCTGATAAAATCCTTTGAAGTAGGACTCCCCTGCAATTCAGATTTAAGTTCCCATTCTTTTCCGACTCACTCTAGGCCAATCCGCTTGAAGTGCCCGGTTGCACTATTTTATTTTATTTTAGAAGTAAGAAAAGCATTTTAATCGATAATTTTTTAACAATTATGTAACCGGCGTCCTCCTGCAAGTGAAGTATTGAAAACAAAAATCTCCATTTAACATGGTAATGTGTCTATTTTTAATCAATTTCGCACATATTTATTTTGTTAGTTAGTTGAAAGCATTCATCTTGTAAATATTGAAAACTTCCACTTAGCTCGTCCCTGCAACACCTCATTTCAAGTGCTACATGAAAGAGCAATAAATCGTCCCGAAAAACGGACAAGGACTTTCATGAGACATTGGGATGACAAATGTCCTTGAACTAGAATATGGACAAAGTTGGCCTTCTCTGCTTGACGGTAGTTGGAATGTAACTGGACGTCCCAGTGCTATTGGCATCTCAAAATACTTTTAAGAGTGAGAAAATGGGGAACTGTCATCTGTATTGACAATACTGCTACAAATGAAGGCTTTGCAAAGCACAAATCAGAAAATAGTTGGTCTCATGAGCTTTCATTTGCTGAAATACGTCGCTTTTCCTTTTTAGAGGCTTAGAAAGCTTCTTTTCTTTCCGTTTGAATGCGATAAACAGCTGCTACAGAAGTCAGTGCAATTTTATTTATTTGTTTAATCATTGACAGCTTTGTCAGGCAATTTTTGGCAGTTAATGACCTATTGTTATGAGTGTCTAGGTGTATTATTGTAAAGGCAGGAATATGTAACTTGAAGGGCAGAGTTTGGTTAAGTGTTTTGCCTTCCAAACAATATTTACTCCAAGCGATATGGTAGAAGGTAGTTTATTTAAAAGAAATCTTTAAAAAATGTTTCGATGATTGGATTTTCTTTCCTTTTTTTTATTGATTTCCAATACCACCATCAGTTGCTTGAATATCACGCCATTGGTAGGCTGTTACGGTTGATTCAAAATTTCTGCGCCTTGAGAATATAATATGTTTTTTATCGATGGGGGTTGGGGGGTGGTTATTAAAAATAAATTCAATAATCCAAAAAGTCTTCTTTCCGTCTATTTGTAGGATTTGAGTAATGTTGTAATGGCCAAAAATGGGACATTCAGAGCAGCCTGTGAATACAAGTTGGTGTTTGCCGAGGGTGAAGCCTGCTGTGAACCCTATCCAGCTTGTGATGGTATGAATTGGGGACCCTCCTGGTTGCACGCACGTCACTATGGTCTGGAAATGCCACACCCTTCTGGAGTCATCAGTTTGCCCCCTGGTCGTGTCACTCCCACAGGGGAACACGTGGAATCTGGCCATTTGGAGTTGCGCTGCACACGTCACCGACCCGATGTCCAACTGTTCACCAAACTTAAGAAGAATTACGTGCCTGATGAAGTTCTGGAGCAATTCCAACGCATTCACCTCAGTGATGGTGAAGCAATTTTCGAACTCAATCTACCCGAACCTGGTAAGATGATTTTTATTGACTTAAAATTACTTTTGAGGGAAACTATGAAGGCGAAGGCTTTTGGTCGGTTATTTTAAATTCATTAATTAATTTGAGCTAAAATGTAATTAAGATGTTCCTTAAAAGTTAATCTTCGTCTTTCGCAAATATCCAGTTTAAAATTGACCCATAACCAATGAAATAGTCCAAATGGGCAAAATTTCTTAAGTCAGCGGAATGGCAAAGGAATTAAGAAACCAATAGAAGTCTTGCATATTTGACTGAGGTGCAACGACTTAAGCAGTCATTAATTCCAATCGTAATCTCCAACTTCGAGTGTACCCCTCCCTCCCCCCTCTCCATATTGAGAGTATTCGATCGAAAACAGTGAAGTGGACAGCTGTCACTTTGTTGCGAAAGCCTCTTGACAGGAAGGCGATGATCTTGAAATATATTTCGATTCTATGTAGCTGAGCCATTGGCTCAGGGATTAGCGGGATTTGTAGTGCCCGATTTTTTGGTGGCTGTCTGGATACCTGTCCCTACGATGGGTGTTGCCTAAGTACTATGAATCGTTTCACAATTTTTTAGAAGTTAGGTACTTATGTTCCTCCACAAACGTCTCTCTCTATGCCCTAATTTTCTTTCTGATACTTGACGCATTGCTAGAAATGAACGGTTTACTTATTGTTAACATTTTAAAAACACATTTAGCATGAATTCTAATGAATTGATATCAGATCTACAGTCGGTTCTTGCAAAAAATTTGCCACAGACTGAAAATGTTTCATCCTCACACCTATTTTTTGTTATAATAAATTATTATCTCCAGTTAAAATCTATAGGTAAGCCCCTTTGCAGCATTACCTTTAAGGGTCACCCTTTTTAAACTTTCATGACCCCAGACAGTCACCGTAACTCCGACCTCTTTTGGGGATAAACACTTCCACAAGAACACCGCCTTTCAGTTTTTAATGCGCTGATTTTAGCAATAATTACTTTCAATTCCCCTTTAAACATTTTTCAAGTCTCAGGAGTTTGATGTTTCCGTTGAAATAATACAGTCAATATACGGGTAAAAATGTTGTTCAGTTAAAAGATTTTTATCCAAAAAGTCTGCCAATTTCGCTTTATGAGGTTCCTTTTAAAACTAAAAAATGACTCCTAAATTAATTTATTAATAAAATTTTCCTCGTTTTTTACCAATTTAGTTTGCTTGTCAAATATAGGCACCTCGGTTAATGTAGAACTTTTAAAATTTAGTCGATCTTAATTACCAAGTTTGCTAAAACTATTTAATAGTGAATTCTTATGCCGGAAGTTTGCCATTTCTTCATTGGTTTATGGATTATCGATTTTTCTTTCAATGAGTATCTAGAGGTGCTATTACTACGAAAACTCCATTTTTTTTTCATTTGCCCGCAGATCAGGTTATTCAAAGTCAAATTAGCATCTAATTATGCTAGAGAAATCAAATTTTACATATTAAACACCTTGGTATCGAATGTTGGGAGCGGGTGCGGGGAGGGGGGGGGGTGGCATTGAAGTTTCATGGAAGACAGCATAATTCAGAGACATCTGGAGTAAAATGTTTTGGCATTGATTAAGCCATTTGTGAGTGCCTAGACCTATCACATGCCTTCATGTGATTTGTGGTTGCGATTTTTCGCTCATCTCAAAGTCACCGTGCCTTCTTGCAAAGTTTTGTAAGCTGAGATCCTTTACTAGGTAGCACTTAGTATAAATAATTTTATTTTCTGAATGCTTGGGTTCCGGAATCTCATATTAGACCTTTGGGTAACGGATTTAAGCCTTTCTATGTACCTAAGTTCCTTTTTTTCGCATAATTACCGTCATGCCATTTTTAACCAAATGACTTGGTACTGAGTGGTTGTATGAATCATCGACAGGTTGACGGATATTGTGTTAATTATGACAACAGCGTTTAGTTTCGTAACACTGACATCATCTTCTGCTTAACTGATCATTAACCACTCAATAGGTGCCAAGTTGTTTGATTATTTTTAAAGAACATTTCTCCTGTAAATCCAAGACCGTTGCGTTGAATAAGGAAAAAATTGTATCACTTGCTTTTATTTAAAAGTTGAGAATTCAGGACGATGCGATTGCGTTAAATTTTGCAACCATCTTTTCAGCGTCTTTTTTGCTTCACTTTCTACTTTGCAATGGATAGTTTTCGTTACGAAATTCGTCACATCTTTTTTTGCATTAATGTACTCCCTACCTCAAAGGCACTTTTGATTCATCACAAACCACTAAGAATTTGAATGACGTCTATTCATAAAAAAGTAATATATTTCTATATTCAGGTGTCATCCAGCCTGACAAGGTAGACACCTGTAATTTAATTACCTAACATCATCTGTTGCAGTAAAACTATTCAAGTCATTCAAGGTGCAGCAAAATAATTCTCTTTTGTTCATTTATTTGGTAAACTCCTGCTAATTGAATGACAAATTTTCTTATCACCTTCGGCAACAAAAATGTTTCATGAAACAAGAGTGAGAAAAAAAAATTTATATATGGAATACGTAAAGAGGCTGAATTCATTCTTCCTACCACCACCACCATCACCACCACCACCACCACCACCACCACCTCCTCCATCTCCTGTTTAATGCAAATTGCGCTACACCTTGGAAGAAAAAGCTAATCACACTATTTAAGAAAGCCTAACTACACTTCCTTGAGTCAGATTTGTGATGCCACAGTGGTAGACGTTGCCAACTCGAAAATAATCCAAGGCCAATCAATGCCATCGTTTTTTGAGTCCACTAATTTGTCTTAGTTTCAAGACAATTTTGTTGACAAGCGGATCGGGTGAAGTACATCTGATCAATTTAATAGACCATCATTTGGAAATGTTGAAAATTGGATTGATTATTATTTTTTAGTGATTTATAAAAGGGCAACTTTTAAATGATAAGGTGCCTGGAAAATGGAAAATCAGATTGCTTATAGTTCCAAATGCTCCCCCTCCCCGCCTCCTCCACATTAGGGGATTGAACCAGTTAGCACAGAATCCGTTGGAGTCCTTCAAACAATTCGGAGTAGTTGGTGGCAAGACCCGGAGTCATGTTCTTCAGACAGTGGTATTGATTTCTTCTGCTAGACACGGTGATTAGAAGAATCAAGAATGTTGAATTGCTCCAATAATTATGCATTTAGGTAATTGAAAAGAGGATAATCACTATTGTTTATCACCTTTCTGACTTCCACGAATAGAATACTTTCGAAGCGTGTTTTTTTCTCCTTCTGACAATTAATAACACATGCTATCTACTTTTTGCGTCTTTATCTGACAATGATAATGATCCCAAACTGCTTTTTGATTGAAAATATGCCATTTTACAAATAAATAAGATTATTAAATACAATTAATGTTCTTTCTGCAGCGTTTCAATCACATGACCAGCGATCGAGCAAACTTTCGCACCACTGCTATGTTATTTGATGCAATTGAAAATTCTAAATGTACAAAATATATCAGCTTTTCCACCCAAATGACCTCAAACCCTTTGTGGAAAGTGTTTTCCATCAATAACTATGGAAATAGGAGAAGAATCCTGAAAACTCGATAGTGAAAATAGCGAACTCTACCACTCCCTTCATTAGCCAATCTTAATTAAAGTGGGTATTGGTTCCGTTCACTGGGTTTGGGCCGATGAGCATCAAACCTATGATGTATGGTCTTCCAGGTTAACGCGTTACATACTTATCTAATATCTCCTAGTAAAATAGTTTAATTCGTGTGGCATAATTATCCCAACCTAAAGGCAATTGCGCTTGAAGTGTCTCTTATGGAATAGTGAACAGACAACGGCCGAAACACTCCTTTCGAGTTGTCACTGACATCATTTATTTATTTATTTCAATTGGCAGGCGTTTCGATAATAACCAATTGCCCTTGAGCTGACTTCGGGCTTCACAGAGGAGAGGAGGAGGAACATCAAAGAGAGAGAAAAAGTCGAGAGGGGGGGGGGCAGAATAATGATTCACAAATGCATAAGAGGTAGACAGTCACAAAGGCAGGGAAAAGGTAAGATGAGTACTGTGGAAGGGGGTTGGATATGACATACAGTCAGGCTAATAGACTTATATGTTACCCAGGGAGCACTACGTGGAGGTAAGTCTATCGTACACCCCGTTACTGACATCATTGGTCTATTTAATTGCTTACTAAGAGGTAGTTGTTTAGGTGAGCGTTGCCTTCAGTTAAATTTGTTTGTTTATTGGCTATCCTTTCAGGTGAATATGGTTTTGATATCTACGCCAATGAACCTGATGATGGGCGAGCATTCACTCACATCTGCCAGTACCTTGTTCACTACGAGGCCCCACAAGGTTGGCGCCCACAACACGCTGAGAATGCGTGGGAAACCAAAACACCGGAAGGGATCAAATCCGCTCATCCAGGAGCGTCGCGAGTTGTCAGTACTGCTGGAGTCACCCTTCGTC